TTCGCCGTATCTTCCTCCTCGTCCTCCGTTTTCTCCTCGCCCTCTTCCTCCATCCCTTTACCTTATAGATAACCCCTCCCCGTCGCACCCTGAGGCTGGTCGAAAAGGCGGGCCTGCCTTTTCGCATAAGACGCCCCCACCCCTTCTGACAGCGATGCTTAACAAACGACAACAGGTTCACAGTTCGAAGGTGCGTCGTCTTCAAAATGTGGCAAAGGTGATTCGCTCTTTAGCGCCGCGAACATTCGTTTTACAATAATAGCAAGAGCTTCGTGGATTGAGGGCGGATCGTTTTCAAAATGCGGTTCTCGCCTTAGCGCCTTGCGCATTGATTTTTAAAAAAAAATCCAGGGCTTCACGGACTAGGGGTGGGTGTTTTTTTTTATGCGGCTCGCGCCTTAGCGCCGCGAAGAATTGTTTTAAAGAATCCGGAACCGCTTCACGGATTGAGGGCGTGCCGTTTTCAAAATGTGGTTTTCGCCTTGGCGCCGCGCGCGTTCCTTGTAAAAGTGCGCACTAGCTTCACGGATTGGGGGCGGGCGGTTTTCAAAATGTGGTTCCCGCCCCAGCGCCGCGAATGTTCGTTGTAAAGAATTTGCGAGAACTTGATAGATTGAGGGCGGCTCGGCGTCGGGTGGGACTCCTTCGAGACGGGGTTGACCTTCCTTGTGCCCAAGGTGTTGCACGGGCTCCCGATGTGATATTGGGGAGATTGGAACACGGTGACCGAGTTGTTCGGCAACGCTGCCTTCACCTACGGGTCGGGGCTGGCACCATCAACCCCTGAGCTCAGGCGAGGTTGGCTGGTCGGTCATCAAATTTTCTAGCCAGGGCATTCATTTGTCCAGCGCTGTTTGGACCGTGGCCTAGGCCTCTGCAGACGGTCGGCCGATCTGAGCGGCACGCGCGCTTGATGGCGGCCAGGATTTTCGGCCCCAACTTGCAGTACGTGTTCACGGACCTGCTGGCGTTGCAGAGCGAGGCTGCATTCCGGGGGCCCGAGCTCGAAGGGGCGTCGGCAGGCCATGCCACGGTGTGGAGAGCCTTTCGGTCCCAGCCGTTGCGGCCACAGGTGTTCTGGACTCCTGCCCACCAGGGCGTCGACGAGTACTTCGGGTTGGGGCTCAGTCCGCTTCTGTATATTGGCAACATGTGGGCGGACTGGTTTGTTCGGCGTGGTGCCGACACGCATGATGCGTCAGAGGTCTACGAGGGATCTACACGGAGGGGATGAGGTGTGCCAAACAGGTCTCTACCGGCATTCGATGGGCCACGCAGCGGAATTTCAAGGTTGGCAGATGAGAGCATGTTGTGCCCGATGCCCCATCGACGGCTGACTTGGCCGCGCACTGCGCCTGCCGAGGCCACCCCCGCATGATTGCCAAGTTGACGGGTGGGGCCCATGTGCGCCGCAGATGTGCAAAGCGTACGTCGCGGAGCTCAGCGGCGGCCTGGGATATGTTCTTGCGCACCCCTTGCCGCGCTACGCGGCTGGACGCGCTGAGGGCGGAGGCGACCATTCAGTTTGGAAGAGGTGTGCATTGCAAATTGTCCGAAGCTGGATCGTTTGCTACGAGTGCACTCGACAATTCTGGTTGTCCTGAAGACTTGGGCAGGGACGGTGAAAGTGTTGTCTCGGAGTGGGCAGTTGCCGAAGTCGCTGCTTGCAACGGGCATCGGCTCCGAAGAGCTGGCCCCACCTGGTCGGGAGGTGGGCCTCCAAGGAGCTGATTGAAGTGCGCGCTGGAGTTCCTAATGGCGAAGGAGGGGCCAAGAACTTCGTTGCGAGCATCAACTCTCGAAGGAAGCGGTTCCTGAAGGGGGTTCGTCCGAAGGGTGACGGTTCACTCATTTTGAGTGCTGTGCCTGGGTCGATTGGATCGGGCATGGTTGCGCAGGAGGCTGTAGCAACTACTTCTACAGCCGCGAACCCGTTGACCACGTGATCGTCGATGTCTTTCTGTTCCTGGCTGGCCTGCAGGCACTCCCGAAGGCGAGCGTGTCACATGCTGGCTTTAGTTATTCCTGTCTGGCCTGGTGGTGCACTCCCAGGGGCGCATGTCCGTCTGGCCTGGAGGTGCATTCCCAGGGGCGGTGAAGTGAGAGTTTGGATGCCTTGGTTTATTCCGCGTCTGGCCTGGAGGCATTTTCCCACGGGCGCGCCCTGTTTGGCCTGGAGGCGCATTCCCAGGGACAGGTGACGAGAGCTGCTGTCTTCTATGGTGGTGTTTGCGTCTGGCCTAGAGGTGCATTCCCAGGGACGCGTCTGATTGGATGCTTCTTCTCTCTCGTCTGGCCTGGACGTGCACTCCCAGGGGCGAGGCTGATAGAATTCGTTGACTGCTGTCGTCGATGTGTTTCTGTTGCATGTTCCTCGATGTGCTGGCGTGCATCGGGGACTCCGTGTTCGAGGTGAGGCTGCACCTTCTCATTTAATCGCTTCGCTCATTCCGCCGGCCCATGTAGGGAACAGGAGGAGGAGGAGGAGGAGGAGAAGGAGAAGGAGGAGGAGGAGAAGGAGGAGAAGGAGGAGGAGGAGGAGGGGAATTGGGGAGGGGGAGGAGGAGTCTCTTGGATGGCGTGTCGTGGCACGATTGGAGTCGATGAAGGTCACCGTCAAGAAGCTTTTGTGGGAGGCTTCGTGGGGCTGCGTGGTTTTGTGGGTCTGAGGCCACTCGGATGGCTGATGGGGTCTCGTGGGAGGCTTCTCGGGAGCGTCTGGAGCGCAGTTTCTGGGCCTCTTGGGGGCCTCCAGGGGTGTTCTTGGGGGCCTCTCGGGGCCTCTTGGGGTTTTTGGGGGGCTGAAGGCTCGGATTTTCGCATCGCGTTCCCCCTCTTGGGCGCCTCTTGGGCCGCCTTGAGGGCCCCTTGGGCCGTTTGGGGCGCCTCCTGGTCCCCTCTGGGGGCCGTCTTGGGCTGTCCTGGGCACTTGTCTTCGGCCCATCTTGGGGGCCCGTTGGGCCGTCTTGGGGCGAGCTTGGGGGTCTTTCGGGCAGTACTGGACGCTCTGAACCCCCAAGAGTCGCAAATGCGAGAAATATACGCTTTCCGAAGGAAATGGGACGATTTTGGTTGACTCTCTTGGACGGCCTCTTGAGGCTCTCTTGGGGCTTCTTGGTGGCGGCTTCGGACGTCTGGAGGCCATCTTGGGCGTCTTGGAACGATTTTGCGGCGACCCAGGGCCTTTCGGACGGTTTCGGGCGCGTCTCGGGGCTCTCTTGTGGCGTTCCTGGGGCGCTGTGGAAAGCCTGGAAGGCTGCGCCGAGGAGGAAAACCATCTCTGGGCCCCACTTGGCCAGGACCTGCTTGGTGTACTTTTCGTCCGGGGGCCCCCAGGGGCCGCCCCGCGCGCGCGAACTAGAAGACTATTAACCAGTTACCAGAGATCTTAGCACGCCTCTGGCCCGTTGGGCCGGCGAATTCCCTGTCTGGCCTGGATGTGCATTCCCAGGGGCAGGGCATGAACAAACTGGACCATGCCTCCATCCTCCGCGTCCGCTGAGGACGCCATCGGGACCCTCGGGAGTCACGCCGCCGTCCGCGCCCGCCAGCTGTCCGACCCGTTGGACGGCTGCGCTCGGCCTTATTTCTCGTTCCTTGCTTCTCCTCCTCCCCCTCCTCCTCATCCTGCTCCTCCTCTTCCTCCTCCTCGTCCTCCTCACCATCATCATCCACAGTCGGGCCTGGCTTTTCCATTGTCATGATCCTCCTCTTCTTTCCCTCGTCTGCATCATCATCGTCATCATCATCCACATTATCGTTCTCTCCTTCTCCTCCGCCTCCTCCTTCTCCTCCTTCTCCTCCTTTTCCTCCTTCTCCTCCTTCTCCTCCTCCTTTTCTCCCCTACCTTTTTTTCCATCCCCCCTGCTCCAGCCTCCTTCGTTTTCCTCCGTGTTCATCCTCGTCCTCGCCCTCCTCATCCTCCTTGTATTTCTCCCCTCCTCTTCCTGTTTTGTTCCCCTCTTTCTCCTCTTCCTTTCTCCTGGGGGCGCGGCAGGGACCCGTGGGGCGATTTTGCGAAGGTGTCTCGAGCGAGAGCGCCTGCGGGACACGCCCGGTACAATATCTCCCGCGAGGGCGCTGGATTGGCACTCGCCCGACGCGCCCGGTGCATCCTCGGAGATGCCCCCTGGGGGCGCGCCGGGGGGCCCGTGGGGCGATGTTTGACAAGATGTCTCGAGCGAGAACGCCGCGCAGATTGACACTCGCCCAGCGCGCCCGGTGCATCCCTGGAAATGGCCCGTATTGGGGCGCGCCAGGGGCCCGTGCGGCCAAGGAGTTCGATGTGGGCCCCTGTGGCGAATTCTACAAAAATGTCGTGAACGAGAGCGCCAGATTGGGACGCGCCCGGTGGGCCGGGCGTGCCCTGAGCACCCGCGTGCTCAGGGCCCTGGAAAACACGCCCGGCGCGCGCCTGGTGCATAATCGGGAATGGTCCCTGGGATGGGCCAGGCCCGAGCGGCGACTTTTACGAGGATATCTCGAGCGAGAGCGCTGCTGGATTGGGACATGCCTGGTGCGTTCGGCGCGCCCAGTGTATCCCCGGAAATGGCCCCCAGGGGTGCGCCGGGGTCCGTGGGGAGATTTTTGCGAGGATGCCTCGGGCAAGGGCGCCCGATTGAAAAACGCCCAGTGCGCCCTGCGCGCCGAGTGCATCCCCAGAAATGGCCCCTGGCGATTTTGGCGAGGATGCCTCAAGCGAGAGCGCGAGATTGGCGCCCGCCCGGTGAGCCCAGTGCATCTCCAGGACTGGTCCCAGGGGGAACGCTGCAGGGCCCGCGGGGCGATTTTTGCGAGGATGTCTCGAGCGAGCCGGGCGCGCCAGACGCACCCTGTGTATCCCCAGAAGTGGTCCTTGGGGGCGCGCTGGGGGGTGACCTCCTCGCGCGCCGGGGTCAGGATGACGTGGGTTCTGAAGAAACTCTTTCAAACTAGAGCAGGTTCCACAGGGTACTCCAACTCCGCCCCGTCGGCCGCGCCCGACGCCCCCCCATGCGAAGGTGGGAGCCGGCCCCGGGACCTCCTCGACGAGGGCTACGGCCCCACTGCCGGCGACGGGCACCCGCCCGAGCCACAACGGTAGCGGGGGGGGGAGCTCTCGCATCGGCACGAACGGAATGGGTACGGAAAAAAGGTCACGAAGACCGACAGCAGTTCTTGTTTGGAGTCGGCTGAGGGCCCGAGGTGGACCCAGCACTGGTTCCGGCCAGCAGGAAGGGCGGGCAGGTTCGAGGCCTTGGGTTCGGGAAGGTTTTTGTTGCCTTATCCTCCGGCGGCCGCTTCCGGGCCCCGGGACCGTGAAAAGCGGAATCGGGGTGTAAAATTGCACCAGATGGACCCTGGGAGAGCTCTGGTGACCGATTGTGCACAAATTTGGCCTCATCCCCCTCCTGGCTGAGGTTCTAGGGTCCCAACCAGTTCAGACCTCCCAGCCGCCTGCAACCGACAGAAGTTTCTGTTCATTTTTTGCGGACTCGCTGTCGGACTCTCCGCGGATGTTGTCCATTTGAGAAAGAAGGCCGCCGGCCACAGCGGCCGTTGTCGGTGTTGGGAAAAATTCGTTGTTTGGCATCGTGCCCATGTTTTCCGTACCCATTTCGGGCGTCCAACAAGTCAGCGCTAATGGGGGTCAACCTATCTCTTCTGGCTGATCCAGGGCTGGGAGCCACGTGAGGCCGACTCCCCCTTCCCGCTCTCCGCTGACCCAGGTTCGGGAGCTAATAAGCGGCCGGCTGGGCTTCGCGACAGGGCATTGGCCGACCCCGGTTTGTGCTGACCCACGTTAGTGCGTTCCCGAAGGGGAGGGGTTAGGGGCAACATTCGGGGGGATGGGCGCGGTGGGGACGCATCGACCCCTCAGTCGTCGAAAAAAGCAAACATGGATTCAGGCGCGTGGATCAGCGATGGCTCCCGCTCCCATGCAGAATCGGCGCGCTCCGCCACCAAAACGGGCGGCACCGGCGCCATTTCTCAGGGGTACCCTTGCCCGATCCTTGGATTTAGCGGCAGCGCACCAGATCCACGCATCCTTGATCCATGTTCGGGTGCGCACAACATCGTCAAGCATCGCCGATAAGGGCCCCATAAGCCCACCGCGCCCAGGACAGAGCGGATGCGCATCTGGGGGCCTGTCGCCGATCTACCAGCGGTGCGTCGCCGATTCGAGCTCGGCGCCCCTCCCACCCCCCACCCCCGAGCCGGTCCCACCCCCATCACGTTCCCTTTCGGAGGGGGGCGCCGCAGAGGCGGTGGCGGCGACGACGGCGGCGTCTGGGCGGGCGGCATCTTGGCGGGCGGCGCCCCCGGCGGACAGCATCGGCTTGCGGGGGCGGAGGGGGGCAGGGGCGCGGGAGGCCCGCGACATGCAGCGAGACGGCCGCCGCCGCCGCAGCCAACGATGACAAGGACGAGGACAACGACGACGACGGCGACGACCACCACCACCACCACCACCACCACAAGCACCACCACCACCACCACCACCACCATCACCAACACCACGACGCCGACGACGACGACGACGACGACGACGACGGCGCCGTCGCAGCGGACGACGACGCCGACGACGAGGACGGCAACGCCGACGGCGACGACGACGACGACGACGACGAAGCGCCCACCGCCGCAGCCGACGACAACGCCGACGGCGACGACGACGACGACGACGACGACGACGACGACGGCGACGGCGACGACGACGACGACGGCGGCGGTTGGCCGCCAGCGGGAGCGCGGGGAGGCCAGCGACGTACAGCGAGGCGCCGCCGCCGGAGCCCTCGCCGTTCCCGGACGAGCGCGGCGGCAGGCGGCAGTCGGCGCAGCGGCGACCCCTGAGATCCTGGCGTCTCGGTGTTTCGAGCCAGGCAGTTCCGTCCGGTTTCAGGCTTCGACGAATCGACCCCCACATATCGATCCGGCTTGGACACATTGCATAGAAAGATGTGATCTAGGCCTCTGGTATTGATTTCGCACGGTGGTTCATGTTTTTCGCGACGCCGGCTCTCAGGATCGGCGCCGTCGTTGTCGTTGTCTCATCGGCGTCGTCGTCGCGCTCGGCCTCCTCGTATCTCCTCCTTCTCCTTCTCCTCCTCATCCTCCTCCTCTTCATCCTCTCCCGACTTCCTCGCTCACTTCTTCTTATCTTCCTCCTGAGCCTGCTCCTCCTCCTCCCCCTCCTCCTCCTCCTCCTCCTCCTCCTCCTCCTCCTCTCCTGTGGGATCGGTCTCAGCACACTCACTCTGGCATCCAGCCTTCCCACCAGGGAAACGGCCGGAGCCCGCGGCAGGAGAGTTGTGGCAGAACGAGCAGAGGCCCAAGCCAGGAGAGCGGCTCATAGGACTGAGGTCGATCTGCTGTGGCGTTTTGTCGGCAGGCCATGGCCGGGCTCGTCACCCCTGCCAGGGAACAGAAAGTCCTCGTCCTGATAAGACCTCTCAAACGCTGTCTTTCCCCCTTCGCCGCCCGCTCTCTCTTTTTTTCTCTCTTTCTCTTTTTTGTTTCTCTCTCTCTCTCTCTCTGGAAAGTGAGCCTTCTCCCCACGCTCCTCTTCACGATTACTCACATGAGCACTTCGATCCTCTCTCCCCTGATGTTGTCTTTCTGCTCCCCCGCTTATCCCGGGTTTCTGCGTAAGGATTGCACAAGAAATCATGTTCGATATTGTTGATCCAGTCAGAACGGTCTCGGCCCCTCCAAACATATGTTTTTTCCTGCAGCGTTGGCCACGGATTGTCATAAAGCCTTCCAGTGGGAAGACGCTCTCCTCGCAGTGGTGGCCGTGCGCTTGCACCAGCAAAAATGCAGTGCCCCTCGCGCAGCGCCTGCCACACGTAAAATTGTCGTTTGAGCCTCCGTCCCATGGGTGACGCTCTCGCCGCTGAGTTTGCCGTACTTCTGCATCCCGAAAAGTTGTGGTCCTTTACTCGCGTTTGCGATGTCTCAAGGGGAAAGTTGTTTTTTTGTCGGAATCGTCTTCTATTTTCGGCTCTGCGAACAGAGGAGCCCAAATTCCATGATAAGGGATGGGGTATTATGTCATATATAGCGCAAGCGAACAGATTTCGTCTCCTCTCCATATGTTCCCCGCCTCCGCTCCCCTTTCTTCCTCCTCAGTCCTATATTCCGTCATCATTGGGCTTGAAGTGAAACCATCGCACCGTGGCTTCAGATTGGACATAGCCGAGGGGCTGACCCAAGGAAGCGGCCCGACCGACAGACGGCCACTGTTTCACACGATCCCCCAATGAGCCCCCCGAGGTGATTGGAGCTTTCGCGCCACCACCGTCAGTGGCCGTGCAGCCGTGGCGGCCACGAGTGGTGAGGTGATGGCGATGCTGACGAAGATGTTCGACGACCAGAAGGAGAGCATGTAGCAGGTTGTCCAGGAAGAGATCCACCTCATGAGCACCTGCAGTGGCAGATCACCGCCCAAGGTTCCGGGATATATCCATTTTCGCGGGACTTCCAGCTCCAATGTCAACGTCTGTCTGCCCTCGAATATGGCAGCACCGCGTGCGGCAGTGTTGCTGGTAGCAAATGTCAGCAAGAGCATTCGGGGCTAAGGGGACGGGGTTCAATGCAAACGGGGGGCAGCCAGGGGGCCGGATCTTGTTGGATTTTGCAGAGCCAGGGCCTATTACCCTGGGCTTGCGCGCAGTATCCTGAACGATTTTGCAGAGACCTGTAAAGCTTGACGGACCTGGGTTTGTAATAACCCGGGCCAGTATGTCCCCGAAGCACTTCGTGTCGCCAAGTCGTCACCGACACTTGCGACAGCGACCCGTTCCGTCTTGTTCGTGGGCACATTCCCCAGACCGCTGTTGGTGAAGACCAGAGTCGCGCGCTGGAGCCAGATGCACGAGTACGTCCCTGACCTGAGTGGCGAGAGCCGCGCCACTGCCATCTTGCGCGGAGCGCGCCAGGTTTACAAACTGAAGGTCGCCGAGCCCTGCGCACAGAAGTGCCAGCGAATGACGAATGAAGTGGGCATGGAGTGGGTCGACATCCGCGACGGGAAGAAGTACCCCATCAGAGTGAGAGGCGGCCCCTCGCTACACCTGAGGGCGAATAAAAGAGCTCTCTCTGGGTTTGTCGCCGACGCGCTCGAGGCTTTCAAACAGAGCCCACCAAGGATTGGCGGGCGCAAGCCAGGAGTCAACGATCACAAGGGCGCGCTGCATATCATCGCGGAGGACGACGTCTCCGAACTCATCCAGGCGGCGCAGCCGAGTCAGGACACCCTCAATGTTCGAGCTCCTTTATCCCAGCCTCCACCAGTGGGGCATCTCCGGCGAGCGCATCGACAGCTGCATTGTTGCGCCGCTAATCTCTCAAGGTTTCCCGAGGAGCACCTCGATGTGATTTTGTCTCGTGCGCGAGCTTGGCAGAGCGCGGGGGCTGCGCTGGCCATCGCTGCGCCCCCCTCTCACCCCCCGCGTCTCCAGTGCAGGCACTGGCAGAAATGCCGTCGTTTCCCCCCGCCCCCCTTCTCAACGTGCCTACCATCGCACGTGAAGAGCGAGCAAGATGACGACTTGGAACTCGCGCGGTCTCATCGGAGCCACGCATGCTGACCAAATTCTGGTTCAACACGGGCTCCATAAACTTCGCGTTGTCTTTCGCAGGAATCCGATCGTCTGCTTGCGCGAGACTGACGGGGCTCGTTGGGGACCTTCCGCCCTTCAGATGCGACGTCGAGTTCCACGTTCTCCTCGGCTTCTCCCGCAGTCGCGCCAGCGCTGGGAGGGCCTGCCCATGCTTGCCGAAAGCGAACTGCCGAGAGACTTCCCCGCCATTTCTCTCCACGATCTCTCGCCCAGCAGGGCTGCCAGTCCGAGCGTGGAAGGCCCCAAGAGGAGCTTCCAATCATCAATGCCGGCATCGACCCTGATTTTCTCGATCCCACTGTTCGGTGGCAGTTCCTCGCTATTCGGAACGTCTTCAGGCCCGCTCTGAACGGCGCATCCCCTAGCCACGGGGATTTGAGCGGCCACAGGGAGAGGCCGCGGAGATCCGACGCAGCCACAGGGGCCGAGCGCCTCGCCCCCGCGAGACGCGCCGCTCCGCATCTCGGTTTCCGCCACTCGCCGCGCTGAGCTTGAGCGGGCCAACTGCATTTCACGGGCGCGCTGGCGCAGCGCCAGCCTACTGCGTCGGCATCGCATGGTATATGGGGCAGAATAAATCATGGCACACGCGCGGAGGACCCCCTGGACCATCGCCGCGGACCCCCTGAAACGTCGCCTCCTGGAGCGTCGCGGACCTCGCCGCCGCCCCCCGACCGCGCGGCGCCCGCCCACCCCCCCCGGGCCTCCATTCGCCCGATGCGTCGCAAGGTATTTCGAGGAGCTTGCCGACGGGCAGAATTTCAGAATTGACTCCCCCACGAAGCTACGCAGAGGAGTGCCGACGGCGGCCGCCGGGCAGGAAGCCAATCTTGAGATGTTTCAGTATGCCCCAAGCATTCGCGCCAGAAGTCAGCTCGCTGCCTGAAGACAACGAGAGGACCTGCGGGCTCGGCCAATCAGCTCGCGACGCTGTCTGCACTTGCCTTCTTCTCCCCCCTCTCTCCGATTACGAGAGCGCGGTTTGGAGTGACTGGCGAGGCTCCTTTTTCGCCCAGGCGGGGCGCATTCGGGATCCCAAATGCAGAGCCCCATTCCAATCCTGATTGCCACATGACGCGCATGCGCAAGCTCGCGCGCGCGGGGGAGTAAGCAACGGGCCAGTTGCCGACGGGGAATTCTCGATCGACGCGGCCACTCCCGCACCGACCCCGACACTTGCGCCGGCCTGCTGCGCCCCCATGGGGGAAGGCATCCGGCGCCTGGAATGGCGAAGTTGCCGCGGGTGGACGATCTGGACCCAGCGGCCCCCGTCGACCCCGACGAGTGTCATATTGTCGCCGCTTCCCATCACATGCCCCCCTAGAAACAAACACTCAAAAAACCCAGGACCCGCGTTCGTAAGAATGGGAGCTCCGCCGCGTGACCCGACGACGACCAGCGCCGCGGCTTCAGCGCTGCTTCTGGCCCAGTCGCTCAGGAAGCCCTGCTAACTGCACGCTCGCGCGGTCAGCGGGCGCGCGGCCCACGAGAATTTCAATTTTGCCCGGCTTGTCATCTCGGCCACGGCCGAGACCCCCGACCCCGCGCTCGCGGCGAATGGGCGCGAGGAAACCAGACCCATCGCGCCCTTGAACACCGACAACAATTTAAGCTCACCAATTGCCTCCCTAATTTCGCAGGTCATCGCCGACCGCGGGCGTCATTCACAGATGGGGCCCGTGTAATGTCATGACACGATGGGGGACGCGCTGCAAGTGGACGCCAATCCGGCGCGCCGGCGCACGGTGTTTGGGCGCCGAGCGCGCGGGGCACGCACGCAGCGCGCGGCGCCGCGCGCTTTCTCGCGGCTACCCCATCTGTCCTGCATTGGGGGGTCTGGATCGTCATGATAGCCCATCGCGTTCCCCAGTTCCCCACCACCACCACCACCTTGATTCTACATCACAACATGCAACGTGCCATCGCGTTCAAGGGGCCCCACATGGTTTCCTTCGCGGCCCTCCGAGGCGCCATGCAAGGGCGCCAAATTCCGGGGTAACGCTCGCTCTCTGGTCGGGCCGGCTGCAAATATATACAGGGGAGTTGTCAACTGATCTCCCGACTCAAGTTTCCGCCTTCGCCGACGATATCGGCTGCGCGGCCGCCGTCGTTCCCGACCCGCCAGGGCTTGCGTTCTCCATATTTGGTCGGTGGTCTGGCGTGATTTTGAACGTCGTCAAGCGCGCCGCTGTCCCCACCC